CAGCACAGAGCCCGACGCGGGGCTCGAACCCACGAACCGCGAGATCATGACCTAAGCGAAAGTCGGACGCTTAACCGACTAAGCCACCCAGGCGCCCCGAAAAGCACCTTGTTCTTTAGAAAAGTTCCTTTTTTTAAAATGTTTTATTTATTTTTGAGAGAGAGAGAGAGTGTGAGCAGGGGAGGGACAGTGAGAGAGGGGGACAGGGGATCCAAAGTGGGATCCATGCTGACAGCAGCGAGCCTGATGCGCGGCTTGAACTCCCGAACCTTGAGATCGTGACCTGAGCCGAAGTTGGATGCTCAACCGACTGAGCCACCCAGGCGCCCTTCTTTTTGGTCTTTTACTAATGGGTGGGAGCTGGCCACCTTGGCCCAGGCAGGATCATCTGGGAATGCGGGTGACAGGGAGGAGAAAGAGAACAGGACAGGTGGCCCCGGGCTTTCTTTTGGGCTGAACAGTGTGATGGTGATACTGTGCATCAGAGTGCGTGCGTCTGTGTGCATTTGGGGGCCGGGTGTGGCTCTGGGCAGCTGTCCTGGGGATGGCATCTGAGCTGGGTGGGGGCCAGGATTTCCCAGATAGCACAGGGAGCCCGGGGGGCTCTGGCTAATGTGGACGATCGAGCACACGTACAGGAGAATGGATTCTGCCCTCTGTCCCTTGTGAGCAGAGTGGGGTTGCTGGGGGGTCCCAGAGCCCCTGGGATTGGTTTGAGGGGAGAACCAGACATGAGGGGGTTTGTCTGGAGAGCTTTTCAGAAGAGGGTGGGACAGCTTTGGGCAAGGTGAGGTGTGGGCCCCTGTGTTTGTGCCGGGTCTGGGGGAGAGGAGGCAGGACTGCCAGCCTTCTCCGTTGCTACATCTTCCTTTCACCATCTTCGCCTTGGCCTTGAGTGTGCTTGGACCACGTTGGGGTCTTATCCTGGAGAGGGAGCACGGAGTCTGGCAAAGGCAGAGTGATGGGCCCAGCCTCCCTCAGCACCTCCAGTCAGCCTCCCCACCCCCAGGCGCAAGGGCACACCTCACCACCAGCCCTGACCTGCCCCACCTGCCACTTTAAATCTTGGAGGCTGCCCGCCCTGCCCCTCCCACCTCCAGCAGGCTGCTTATCTGGGTCCTGGGGCAGGGGCGGGGGCCCTGGCCCAGCCCCCTGGGTGCTGAGGCTCCTCTCTTCCTTGTTTGTTTTTTTTTTCTTTTGACATGGAACTGGGCAAGCAGCTGGAGGCAAGCTGGGTATGTGTCCAGGGGGGTCCTGGCTGAGTCCTGGACAGCAGAGCCATGGGAGCCTGGGGTGGGGGTGGGGCTTCAAGGCTGGGGTGTTATGAATGAGAGCCAGGGACACAGATTGAGGGGCGTGATTGTACCATTCCTCCTTGACCTCATGGACCCCTGAGAGCTATCCGGCTGACGGTGTTTGGGGGTGGGTGGGTTAAGGGGCAGGACCTTGGGGCACTCACAGCTGGGCCTGGGCATTCAAGTGCAGCAGCTCCTCTCGGAAAGGAGCGGCGGGCAGCCCGAGAGTGACTTGGAGCTGGGGGAGCGATGGGGAGGCCCGTGTCACACAGCTGTCTGGCCCGGAGTATACACGCCGAGCCAACTTCGTGGGAACCCGTGTCGGATCCCTGTCGGCCCGTGGGTCTGTATTCCGGCCGGCCGTGCCCACCTGTCTGTATGCTAGACTGTGTTTATCTGTGTGAGCGCGTGCCAGTGTGCATCCGTGCGTGCCAGGGCTGGCGTCTGTGTGTGCGCCTGCCTGCCAGCGCAAGTGCAGGGCACGTGGTCCTTGTGTGTCCATACTGGTGGGGGGGGGGGTGTCCCCTCATGTCTGTAGATCTACGTGGATGCGAATCGGCCTGAGCACCTGAGTGTTCCTCTGTGTGTCACTGTGGCCTTCAGCCTGCTTGGCAGTCTGTGTCGCCGTGTGTCCACAAGGAAGTCCCTTCGGGGCAGAGTGAAAAGGGAAAGGAAACAGGAAGCTGGGAGGGGCACGCCATGCAGGCAGGTGGCACAAGGCCTCCTCCTGCCCACTTCTGGGGCACCCTCCTGCCCTGTGCCTCTCCTCGCTCTGGGTTTGGGGCTCTCCTGACTTGGTTCTGAGCCCCCAGCACCCGTGTCCTGGTTCTCGCTCCTGACCGCGCACGGTGCCTCCAGCAGGACCCAGCGGCCCTCCCGCTCATGCCCTGCGCTGTCCGCCCTCCCCAGGAACGCCAGCGCCTGGAGACCATCCTGAACCTGTGTGCTGAGTACAGCCGGGCCGACGGGGCGCCCGAGGCCGGGGAGCTGCCCAGCATCGGGGAAGCCACCGCCGCGTTGGCGCTGGCGGGCCGGAGGCCGGCGCGAGGCCTTTCGGGGGCCACCGGAGCCTCTGGGCGGGGCACTGAGGAGCCCGGAGGTGCCACCCAGCGCCTGTGGGAGTGTGTGGACCGCTCAGATGAGGAGAATCTCAAGGAGGAGTGCAGCAGCACTGAGAGCACCCAGCAGGAGGTGGGGGGGCGGGGGCGGGGGGCACCCGGTGAGAGGGGCGGGGGCAGAAGAGGCAGGTGTGGGGGAGGGATGGTTCAGTGAGGGGAATGTAATTGAAGGCTTCGGTTCGGGAAGACATAGGGATGAGAGGCGTAGAGGTGAGGAGGCAAGGGAGAGAGGGAGGTGGCGATGTGCTTCCCAGGCTATCAGTATGCTTGATGACCTGCCTTTCCTCGGGGCCTCCGGCCTGGCTCTCAGTGGGAAACCTTCATTCCCTTCTGCTGAGCAGCATGGCTCCCCTTGCAGGGAGGGGAGTTTGCCTCCTCACTGTCTAGCTGCCCCTTCCAAGCTCCCGGAGGAATGGGGCTCCGTCCTCTTAGTCTGAGCACGGAAGGCTCCAGGCTTCCCCAGCTGATGGCTTCCGTCCCCTGCAGCATGAAGATGCTCCCGGCACCAAGCTCCAGGGGGAGGTGCTGGCCCTGGAAGAGGAGCGGGCTCAGGTGCTGGGCCGCGTGGAGCAGCTCAAGGTCCGCGTGAAGGAGCTGGAGCAGCAGCTGCAGGAGTCCGCCCGAGAGGTGAGCCCCGCTCTTCCCCGGGCAGAGCCAGGGTCCCTGCAGGGGCTGCGCCTGTCTGCCTCGACGGGCCTTGACACGGACCTCGGTGCTGCCCCCAGGCTGAAATGGAGCGAGCACTGCTGCAGGGGGAGAGGGAGGCAGAGCGGGCCTTGCTGCAGAAGGAGCAGAAGGCCGTGGACCAGCTGCAGGAAAAGTTGGTGACCTTGGAAACTGGCCTCCAGAAGGAGAGGGACAAGGTAACCCACAGCCGGCCCGGCCCCGTGCTGGCTACCAGTGGCCCCGGGGAAGGAGAAACGTCTTCTCTGGGCCCTTTACTTCTCATCTCACCCACCTTCCTGTGGACCTGGTGGTCTCTGTGGCCGTCAGGGGAGGGGGGCCATGTCCTCTGTGGAAGGTGTCAGCTTGAAGGGCACGATCAGGGGCGGGGCTGGGCCCTGGGATCTCCTCTGTCTGGGTCTCTGTGCTGTCTCTGGGTGCCTGCCATTCCTGGCCCTTCGTGGCCCTTCTAGAAGTGCCGAAGCTGCTGCTTGGGCAGTGAGCACAGCCTGAGGGACTGGTGCTGGGCAGTGGCTCTGGTTTGGGGCCCTCTGTCTAGAGATCGTGCCCCTCCCAGCATGCCTTGGGTGCTCAGGATGTGATCTTCGGGGGACGGCCTTCAGGTCTCTGCTTCCCCTGAGCCTTTCAGGATCTGCAGCCTCCCGTCCCAGGTGGTCCCAGCTCCTGCCCCCCGACCCTTTCAGATTCCGTGCCAGCCTGCAGGGGTCGCTCCGTCCCACAGGGGCCGTGCCAGCCAGGCCCAAGATGCCCAACAACGTGCCAAAAGCTCTGAAGTGTGGAGAGGGGCCATCTATTTCTGGACTTGACAGTATTTTTCCAAGAGTTAATTTTCTATCTGAATTTTTTGAGAGTGTCTCCTGTGCCCAGTTTTGAAACTCTTAAAGATTCTTCAACAAACCACCCCCCCTTTTTTTTTGGAGCTTTAGCTCTGGCCCCCAAAACCACACTCCCAAATTCTGTGCCAGATTAACTCCACGCTTACCAACCAGGCCTGCACTAACGCGCCCCCCCTAATCACTGTCCTGGGCTCTCGCATGCCCCTAACTGCCAGCACCCCCCACTCTCCCAGGCAGGGCTGAGCCATGCCGGCTTGTGTACTAACTGCAAGGGCACCGCTGTGCCCTTGACCTCTCCCCTCTAATTCTGCCTCCTTCCTTTCTTGGTGTAGGACTCCAGGGTTTTGATCAGAAAGGAATGGGCAGGGGGCACAGCTCAACTTTACTCAGTGGTACATTGGCAGGAAGAGTAAAAGTGGGGGGGAAATGCGTCGCTGAGGAGCTTCTCAGCCTGAGGAGTGCCCCCCATTTGGAAAAGCCCAGGTGCAGCCTCCATAGATTGTTGGCGGTTTTCCTGTGCAGCTGGGAGAAGCGGGCTGTCTTCCAGCCGTCTACCTCCTCCCCTCTCTTCCTTCCGGAGCAGAGGGGTCAGCAGGGCTAGCCGTGTCGGCATGGCCCAGGAGGGTGTAGACCGGTTTTCTCTGCCCACACGGTGGCTACCCTTCCTGGCTTTCCTCTGGGGCTCCCAAAATCCAGATACCCCACCTGGAGGGTGGGAATGAGTAGGCCTCTCCCCGTCTCCGTGCCCTGAGCCATCCAGAACATAGGGTATTCTAGAGCCTGAGTCCTAAGAGGGCAAAGTGCTTGGACCGCAGAACTGGCCTGATTGTGTCCTCCTCTCCCTGATGGGCTGGAGGGACGGGGCAGGATTCAGCACAGGGACTTCACGTAAGGTCAGCTTTTCAGAAGGAACCTGCCTCACCTCATTTCTCGTTAATCTGGCATCACCTCGAGGCCCAGACTTTGCCTTTTCTCCGGGCCCAGTTATGTGAGGGGGTGGTGCGGTGGGGGTGGGGAGGCAGTGGCCGTGGGGAAGGTTCACTCAGCTTTCCTCCCCAGCCCATGGCCCCGCTCTGGTTTTGGAATCAGTAATCATAGTTTCTCCTCTGCCTGTCCTTTCGGAGGGGTGACTCACCAGCTCCTCCCTCGTCCCCCTTCCCGCCCTCAGAGGTGTCATGTCGCCCCAGACAGAGCTCTCCACCTCCTCTCTGTACCCACTCCTGGGGCTCCCACTGCCATGGCAACGGTCGGACTAATTGCAACCCTCGTTCTGCTGGAGTTCAGCCTGGAGTGCTAGCACCCACCTCCGCCCCGGGCAGGAGGGAGGGAGGCCCAGGGAGTCGGGCCGGGGTCCCCTCCGCGGCACTGCTGTAGCTTTAACATCCTCAGCTTTCCAATTCGTACCCGACCCCTGGATTTAACCCTGACTGTCTATACCCCTTCCCCCCTCCCTCCAGGGTTAAATTTTGGTCTCTAGGCAGCGGAGGAGCCCCGGAGAAATAGGAGCTAGAGACTCCGTGTTTGTGATACGGAACCAGCTTTGGCCTTCACTTGTTTGGAGCGAAAACAGAGGACTTAGGACTCACCCAAACGTTTCTCATTCAGGGGGCTCCCAAGAGACCAAAATTTCTGCCCGAGACCCACACCTGTGCCCGTGTTACAGCGTCCTGTGCTCTGCACCTGCGAGTGTCCTGTCCTCCGCCTCCACCTCGGCTCCTTGCTTTTCCCACTCTTCTCCTCTTCCGTGTTTGTTTTCCCTTCCTCCTCTTCCTCCTCTCCCGCTCCGCTCCTCTGTTAGTCCTCAGCACCCCCCCTGGCCTCGCTTCCGGCTCCCCAGCTCTCTCTCCCGCCCCGCCCCCCATGGCCGCTGCTGCCCGGGCCGGAGTTGAGGAGTGTGTGTTCTGTTTCTCCCCTGTGCCCGCCCTCCCCCCCCCTCCCGCCGACCAGGAGAGGGCGGAGCTGGCCGCGGGACGGAGGCACCTGGAGGCCCGCCAGGCTCTCTACGCCGAGCTCCAGACGCAGCTCGATAACTGCCCCGAGTCAGTGCGGGAACAGTTACAGGAGCAGCTGAGAAGGGTCAGTTTCACCAGCTCCCCTTCCCTGGCCCCCGAGGGCCACCCACCCAGAAGACAGGAGAGCGGTGGGACGGGACCACCTGGGCCCTGCACTTCCTGCCGGACACCAGGGTCGGTGCTGTGGCTTGGAAGGGACAGGGAAGGACTGGGGCGGGAGGGGGCGGGGACCTATTTCCACCTTTCTGCTACTGCAGGCAGTGATGCCCGTGAAAAGGGCAAAAAGCCAAACCGAGGAAAGGGGGTTGGGTTGGGGGCAGGTCCCTTCCCCAATTTCCCTGGGGCCGGCCCTCAGAACTCCTGCCTCTGTGGCCTGGCTCCGCAGGCCAGAGGTGATCTTGGGAGCACCATTCAACCCCCTTTGTCGCTGTCGTTCAAGGAGGCCGAGGCCCTGGAGACGGAGACAAAGCTGTTTGAGGACCTGGAGTTCCAGCAGCTGGAGCGGGAGAGCCGCGTGGAGGAGGAGCGGGAGCTGGCGGGCCAGGGGCTGCTCCGGAGCAAGGCCGAGCTGCTCCACAGCATCACCAAGAGGAAGGTGTGCCCCGCCCCCGTGCCCTGCGGGGCCTCAGTGCCAGGTGGGGGCGAGGCCAGTGATTGGATCCCCGCTGCGCTTGGATTTCCCTCTGGTGATGCCAAAAGAGTTAACTTTACCTTTACCTCAGGTTCCTTAACTGCAAAACAGGAACAGGCTGTCAGGAGAATTAAGCGAGACGGTAAATGCGGGGACCACATGGGCTCTGATCGTAGTAAGCACGGAGCCGGCAGCAGCTGCTGTTAGTAAGCATGGGCCCCGGGGGACAGTGGACCGGGCTCTGGCTGCGCAGAGAGATGAAGGGTGGAGGAGGAGGAGGCTGAAGAGGAGACTGCTGCCGCCCTCGTCAAGCTCTCTGTCTGGTGGCTGTGCTGGGAAACATACATGGTCCTGAAATCTGGATATTTGAGTCAACCAGGGGTCCTAGAGAGGGCAGCCCCTGGCTTCCAGCTGTGCCTCAGCCCTCGCTCAGCTGAGGCACGAACCAGGGGATTGTGTATTATACCCTCCCCAGTCCTGGAGCTGCAGGTGCTGTGATCCCTCGCTCCTGATCTCAGCCAGACCAGGACAGGATGATGGGGCAGAGGTGCGTGCGTGCATGTGGTAAATCTGGGAGGAGGCTTGTGTTAAGCAAGTTGTAGGAAGATGTCAGGGAGGAGAATGGGGAGGAAGGTCCAGGCAGCTCACATGGCTGTGGCTGAGACTGGTGTGTCCGTGCGCACACATGCATGCGTGTACGGTTCAGGTGGAGTGAGTAGGCAGGAGGTGAAGGCCGTGAGATCAGGGGAGGGCTGTCAAAAAGTGGTGACTGGCGTCTCGACAGTTAGCCTGAGTTTGGTGGCATGTGGGAAGCTACTGGACCTCCCCCCGAGTCCCCCTTGCCCCTCTCCCTGAACTCCTCTGTCTTCCAAATGCATCTGCTCTTCCGGCTGTGAGACAGATGGAAGGAAGAGAGCTGGCATTTCCCAGGGGCGTGGGTGTGTGCCAGGAGGCTTTCTTGAGTTATCTTGTGCCAACCTGAGGATGGTCCCACAAGGCCAGTGCTCTCATCCTCATTTTATAGACCAGGAAATGAGGGCTTAGAGAAGCTACATTCGTTAAACCTCTCAGTTTATGAGCTTCAGAGTCAGCAAGAGACCCCAGGCCTGCCTCTCCCAAAGTATCTTCCCCATTCCCCTGGAGAGAAAGCAGCAGGGAGCCCTAGATGAGCCAATCCCATCCCTTTGGGGTCTTGGTGGGTGTAAGCTCCAGGAAGTTGGAGGGGTCACCTGTTTCCTCCTCCCCATACCCACCCTGGCTCCTGGGAAATGAGCTCAGCCACTGGGACCCCAGGGGTCACACTCTTCCCCTTGCTGTTGCCTCTTTCTTTTTTCAGATTTTTATGTTTTAGTAATCTCTACACACTATGTGGGGGTTGAATTTACAACACCGAAATTAAGAGTTGCGTGCTCCGCTGACCGAGCCAGCCAGCCAGGCGCCCCTTGCCTTCTCGGGAGCCCTGCTCGGCTTCCGTCCCTCGGCACCGCCGTGGCCCACCCGCCCCAGGCTCTGTCTGCCCTCCTGCTCAGTGTTCCCCTGTCCTCTCCACTGTGATTCAGAGCGGTTCAGAGCACTGGCTTTGGAGTCCAACAGATTTAGTTCCAGTCCCAGCTCTGCCACTTACTAGCTCCTGAATGTCAGTGTTCTTACCACTAAAATGGGCGTAAAGGCACCTGCCTCAAAAGAGGATTAAATGAAGTAACAAATGCAAACAATTTAGCAGAGTTATTGGGATCTAACAGGTTCTCGGTAAACAGCAGATCTTGCTGTGCAAATTACTGCCCGGGCTGACCCCAGATTTAGGACAGCTCCCTTCTCCCCTCCCATCTTGCTCATGTCTTGCTCTTAAAGGTGGTGGTTTAAGGCTACCTCTTTTAGGAAGCCCTCCTGCGATTAACCTAGCCCATTTTCCCCAAACCCCATTCTTCTCTCTCACGTTATTATCTTTTCTTTTCCTTTTAGTACATGGTTGTTGAGCCAGGCACTGTGCTAAGCTCTGCTGGGGATATGGAGACAGAAAAGACACTGCCCCTGCCCCTGGATCTGACAGCCTGGGCGGGGTGGTGATGGAGACACATGCTCACAAGTACCAGTAATACGAGGCAAATGGTGATATCAGAGTGATGTGAGCACAGAGGAGGGAACAGAGAAATTGAGTGGTAATTGAGGAAGACGTAGGAGAAAAGGTTTGCTCCATCTGGTCTTGGAGGATAAGTGGCAGAAAGACAGGGACAGCTCTCCTGGGCTAAGGTGGCAGCGTTAGCAAGGCCTGAGGGTGTGCGGCTTAGCGTACCCCACGGCCAGGCTCAGGGACACAGGGTCAGCCAGGATGGGGGCTGAAGAGCGTAGGCGCGGTCCCGGGAGCCCTCGAATGCCGATTTTGGAGTTTGTGCTCTGTCCTGTGAGTAAGGAGTCAAAGATTTTGAGGAGTGATCTAACTTTACTTGTGGCATTTTAAAAAATTATTCCAGTAATCTATATTCTTTTTGGAAGGGCTAGAAAATTCACATAAGCAAACAAAAACAGACCTCCAGGGCCATTTTAAGATGTTTGTGGCAGTGTGGGGCACACCAGAAGGTGGAGAGCGGAGGCAGAAGGCTGGTGAAGAAGTCCGGGCAGGGAAGGCAGCGGGCCTGGCCTTGGGGGTGGGCAGGTGGAGAACTCTTCAGTATCTCCAGGATTCTGGACTTGTTGATGGTGGGGAGGGGACAGCTGGGGACTTGGGTTCTAGCTGGTGTGCCTGGCGGCACAGGAGTCCCTGGCTGAGGGAGGGATGAAGGGAGGAGCTGCCCGCAGCTGCCCGAGTGTTCCGGGGGTGGGTTAAGGCCAAGCAGAAGGGTGTCACCCACGCCAAGGGTCTCTGGACAGGAGAGATGGGGAAGCCTCACCGCGGGCTCAGCCCCATCTCCCAGGCCTGACTGGCCTCGCCCCCTCTCCTCCAGGAGCGCCTGGCCGTCCTGGACAGTCAGGCTGGCCAGATCCGGGCCCAGGCCGTGCACGAGTCCGAGCGCCTGGCGCGGGACAAGAACGCCTCCTTGCAGCTGCTGCAGAAGGTAGCCGCGGTCACGTTGGGCCAGGGGGTCAGGGTCGGTGCAAGATGAGCGGGGTGGGGTTCTGCCAGCTGCCGCGGTGTGGGGGGGGCTTCACTCCGTCTCCCCCTGTGTCGCCACCCCCCACCCCGCTCTGACTCTGCCCCTTGGGGCCTGCAGGAGAAGGAGAAACTAACTATGCTGGAGAGGAGGTACCACTCGCTCACAGGGGGCAGGCCTTTCCCGAAGACCACGTCGGCCCTCAAAGAGGTAACGGGGCTGGGTCAGCCCTAGCTTCAGCCCAGCGGGTTTCATGGGAGGCTCTGGGGCAACACATGGCATCTTCTGCCCAGTAGCTGAGGTTGAATATTGGGGATGTTTTCCTGAACTGGACAGATTTGAGTGCGAGCGACCCTCAAGTCTAGGATCTGACCCTCTGTGGCTACCAGCTGCTGCTTTTCAGATAAACTTTCTGGCTCCTGGGAGCTTCCCGATGCTACCATTTTGGGTGATTAAATACACCTGCGGGATTCAGGCAGCATGAGTGGGGAGGGTGGGCAGCCCAGAGGCTTGGGAAGGGCCAGGACTGGGCAGCCTCACCTTGAGGGTCTGCACAGGAATCTCGGGGCCCTGGTCTTGGAGCTCTTTGGGCTTCAGTCTAGAACTAGGCTCTTGGCTGAAGAGCAGGCATTGACGTCCCTTAAGTGGTTCTTTGCTGAGTCTTCGCATGCTTGGGGCCTGAGGTCCAATTAGGACATGCCCAGCTCCCTGAGCTCCTCCCCCTCCTCCTCCCCTCCCTGCCTGGTGTGGGCGGCCCCTCACCATGTACCCTCTCTGTAGGCCGAACTGCTCATCTCCGAGTCCTCAGGGATGGGACTGGGGGCTGCGACTCTGGTCCCTTTCCCCGGGTCTTCTCAGGCGGGGGCTTCCTCTGTCCCCTTAACCCCACCTGCTTCCACTCAGCTCTGCCCCAAAGCACAAGAGGTAATCCTGGCTAACTGCCTGCTCTGCTGTGCCCACTGCCCATCTGCCTGCTTGCCCGGCTCTTGCCTCCAGCTCCTGCCAAGGGCCCAGCCGGGGGTGGGGGGGTGGTGGGCAGCGAGTGGCAATAATCCTGTGGCTAGAGTTTGCGAGAGTTTGAGTGAGTGTGCCACCTTGCTGCTCTGTGGAGGGCCTGGGCAGCCTCTGCAAAATCAGCACCTGTTTGCATATTAATTTGCACGTGATCTGCATGCCATTCATCAGTGCTGGCGACATACTGGGTCCTCCCGCTCCTCTTCCCTTCCCCTGACCCCTGGAGGACATTTGTCCTCTGGAGCTTGGCCAGGCCAGGGCACCCCCTGGATAGGGCAGGCTCAGGATCCTGCACACTCTGTGAATTTTGGGGCCGCCATGCCCCCAACAGCTACATCAGCTCAGGGGTCTAAGGATCTGCTCGGGGAGTGTGACAGTCCCCATCCTCCCACACCACAGTCTGATGCGCTAGTGTCTTCCTACGCACTAACCCTTGGGGGGTCGGCCTGTTTTTCCACCTGGGCTCCTGGCTGCCCCCTGCTAAGGTCTCTTTCTCAGAGCCCATCTAGCTCAGCAGCTCAGTGCTGTCTCCACTCCTCCCCCTTCCGGCTCCTGCCCTGGCACATGGGATGCGAGGAGACCCTCGGGAATGGTGGCTGGTGCTCCACTCCAGTGTGTGTGTGCCCCCCTGGGGTGCCCAAGATGTGGGAGACAGAAGGACTGTCTGGGAGCTGAGTCCTGATCCTCGGTGGACTCTGGGAAGGCCTTCCCTAGGCTTCTTCTGTCCCCAGCCCAGAGCAAACCCGGGGCAGGGCCTGGGTGCCAAAGTCCCCTCAAAAGTAGAGGTCAGGACGTGCCTTCAGACCAGTGCTGCCTGCCCTTTTCTGGCCCCCGCCCCCTAGTTGTCTCCGGTCACAGTAGACAGCCGAGTCCCTCTCCTGCCCCCCGCCCCCTGCCCCTGCTCTGGATCTTGTGTTGAATGGAGTGATGGCCCCAAGGCATGGAGTTTGGGTGTCGGGTACCTGTTGTGCCCTGTTGACCTCTTCTCCGCCCATCCCTCCCCCTCCCACCGGGCACCCTAGGAGTACGTGAGCCTGGCAGAGGTGCTCCAGCTGTGCTTCCGCTTGGACCCCCATGCTTCTGCCACCTCCCCCGGCGTGCTCGCCCCGCCCCTGCCTGGCAGTGAGGTACCGGCCACAGAGCAAGCCCACCTGTGCCCAAGGGCCGCCTCGTGGATGCCCAGATCATCCCTCGGTCCTGGATGGGGCTTGGGGGCCAGCGGGGTCTGTGTTCAGCGGTGAGGGAGAAGGGCAGCTGGCATCCAGGGAGCTGGGAGTGGTTCCCTCCGTGCCCTGGGACCTCGGGAGTGTGAGCTCCCCATGGCCCAAGGCGGGGCTGCCTCCTGCTTGGGCGTGAGGGCGTCCTGCCTGGAGAGGACTTGAGTTCCGTTCTGGTCCGGGCTCTGCGCTTCCTATACTCACCCTTGTCTCGCCCGCGGGCACGGTCAGCTCCGGGGTTGCAGTCCCATTAACCTCTCATATTCCCTCCTGCGCCCTGGCCTTCCCCCCAAGTACGTGACGCTTGAGCAGCTAAAGGCGATGTGGGGCACCTCGCCCATGCCCGCAGCCTCTGTGCCAGGCCCGCCCCTCTGGGCCCCTGCCTCCCGGGACCTGGTTCCCACCACCTGCCTTCCTCCCGTGCTGCCCTCTTCCTCCTCCTTCGCTTCCATCACGCCTTCACCCAAGGTTGGTGGTCTGTGTGTTCCTGCCGCCCCCAGCCTGCTGCTGGCGTGGCTGTGTGTGTGTGTGTGTGTGTGTGTGTGTGTGTGTGTGTGTTCGTGTGTGTTCCGCCCCTGCCTCCCGGCTTCTGAGCTCCAGGCCGGCCCCTGGGGAGCGCTCGGTGCCTGTGGACGCTGGCTGCCCAGCATCGTGGTCGGCACAGCACGTGTCTGGTCTGGGAGTTGTGTCCTGACTGTTCCTCGTTGCCCTTAGCACGTTCGCAGCAGCTGTTTTCTCACTGTTTTTCTCCTCCTTCTCTCCGTGCTGTTCTCTCTCCCCCTGCCTTCCCTTCTCCCTCACCTCCCTGTCTCCCTCCGTCCCCCTTTCACTCCTCCTATGACCTTCCCCTCTCTTCTACCTTCTCTCCCTTCCACCTCCTCTTCCTTTCCCTCCTCTCCTGACTGTTCTCCGCGCCCCTTCCCCACGCCCCCCTCCCCACGCCCCCCTCCCCGCTCCAGATGGAGGAGCTGCTGCTCCCTGCTGTAGACTTAGAGCAGTGGTACCAGGAGCTGATGGCCGGGCTGGGGACCGGCCCCGCTACAGCCTCCCCGCGCTCCTCTCCCCCGCCTCTGCCCGCCAAAGCTTCCCGGCAGCTGCAGGTAACCCCCCCGCCCCCCATCTCCCCACCCGTCCCTCCCCGAGCCCTGCTCCTCTCTGCACTGGAACCTTCTGCCAGTCTAGCAGCCACATGGCGCCGCCCCAGAGGGAGGGGGGCCGTTGAGTCAGGGCAGCGAAGTCTCCTTACGGGCAGCCACCCTGGCACCTCGGGCAGCTGGGGGGCCAGCCTCTGAGTCCAAGGACGATGTACAGGATTGGCTGTCCAGTGGAAGGGGGCCCAGAGCAGCGGTCAGGTTGAGATCGGCCTGGCGCCTCGAGCTACGGTAGACTGTGGCCCTGCCCCGTCCCTGGCAGCCCTCAAGCCCGGAGTTTCTCACTCAGTCTGGGGGCCTGACACACTCATGGGCCTGTGGCAGCCGAAACTAGTGAGTCCTGGGCGAACTGCCAGCAGTTGGCTCTCCTGGTCTCCCCGGGGGTGACCCTCGGAGGCAGTCCCGGTGGGACAGAGACTTGCCTGGGGCCTCCTCAGAGCTTCTGTGGAGGGTGCGAGGGTGCGGGCCTAGCTGAGCCTGGAGCAAGCTGCTGGCCCAGATGGGGAGGGGGGGTCGCAGTCAGGAAGGGTTCTCCCCCAGGGCGCGCTCCACTGACCTGCTGCTATGCCTGAGACCCTGGCCTTCAAGGTTCACTCCTGGAGTGAAGGCTTGGACCTCTGAGACTGATCTCAGCTCACATTCCGTGCTCCCTTTGGGAGGAGTTTGATTGTTCTATGCTGTGAGGCAGCCTCTGCTTTGTGTCCAGCTGGTTAGAGACTTGCCCCTGTTGTGATTCCTTTCATCGTGAGCACGGTTAACGCTGATTTTACAGCTCAGTCACTGGGGCCCGCCCGGAGAGGATAAGTAATCTCCCCAAGGCCACACAACTAGGAAGTGGCAGAGCCGATGCCAAGAGTCAGGGTTCTTGACTTCAGACACCATGTTCAGCAAACATGAGGGCTGTGAGGGAGCTTGGCAGTTATTTGGTCGAGCCCTGCTCCCTGCTTCTGCAGATAAGGACGCCCCGGCCCAAAGCTGTGAGGCACAGGGCCCAAGGTCACACAGCGTGGTAGTGGCAGAGGGGACCCTGACTCTTCTGGTTGGCTTCCTGTACAACCCTGCCCAGCTCATGTTAACGCCTCGCATGCTCGGTTTACAAGGTCTTTTCTGAGACCTGGGGTGGGACCAGGGATTGGCCCAGGGAGGAACTGCCTGGAAAGGAGGCTTGGCAGCCGCCAGTAACACCTGTCCATGGGGCTGGCCCAAGATGCTCCGTGCTGTCGTCAGTTAGAAGCGGCCTCCGAGGCCTGGTGCCAGGGCAGGGTCTTGGATCACAGCCAGCCTAGGTGACGCGGGGGTGGTGGCCAGTGGGGGAGCTGGAGTTTACCAGGCAGTTATCTCTTCCCTCCAGGTTTACCGCTCCAAGATGGATGGCGAGGCCACCTGCCCCCTGCCCCGGACCCGCAGTGGCCCCCTCCCCTCTTCCTCTGGCTCTTCTTCCTCTTCCTCCCAGCTCAGCGTGGCTACCCTGGGCCGGAGCCCCTCCCCCAAGGTCTGAGGACAGTGGGTGGGCTGAGTGTGTGGCAAGGTGGTGGTAGGGGAATGGAGACTGCCACACGGGGGAGGGGTCAGAGCCGCCCAGCAGAGCCTCGGGAGCGGGGGTTTCTGAGCCTTGGGTCCCAATGCTCTACTCCCCTCCCCCGAGCAGAGTGCTCTACTTGCCCAGAATGGGACGAGCAGCCTTCCTCGCAACCTGGCGGCCACGCTGCAGGACATTGAGACCAAGCGCCAGCTGGCCCTGCAGCAGAAGGGTGAGTGGCCGCAGTGCCCACCGGCCTGCCCTCCTGGGGGGCCTGAGTATCTGCCACCCCTCCCCCACACTGTGCCTCACCTTTTGCAGGATGTTTTGGCTTTGAGTCCTTGGTGAGAGCAGAAAGCATTTAGATTCAATACCTAAAGAAGAGCTCCCTGGATATTTATCAGGAGACTAGGGATTGGGGGCTGTGAGGTCTGTGACAGCGTGGCAAACGAGGGAAATGTTTACTGACCTGACTCAGGACGGACGCTGCCCCGTCTGAAGGCAGAGGGTGGACGTGATGACCTCCAGAAACGGCTGCCTAAGATACTGGCTCTGGGGGCCCTGGAGTCCTCGCTGCCTGTGTGCATTTTGGTTGTTTTGAAAGCCCGTGTCTGTGCCTCTCTCTGGTCTCATCCCCTCTGTGTCTCTTTGCCCCGGGGCCCCCCCCCACACCAGGCGCGTCGCTTCCTGCCGAGCCCCCCCCAACCGACGACCCAGCAGGTAGAGCGTTGGTCACTGAGGGCATTGCTTTGGTCAGGCAGCCCCGCCCGGGCATCCGCATGATGTACTCTGCGCAGGTCCTCGCTGCCCCCAGGCAGGCTCCCCGGCTGAGCTGGGACCCAGTGTCTGGCTGGCCTCACCCCTCCAGTCGGGCCGTCCCCTGCCTCAGCTGTGCTCTGCCTTGTCGTCTCCCCTTCCCCCCTGCTCTGGCTGCTGCATCACGGCCTGGTTTGCACGGACCCCTTGCTCACGCAGTTCCCTCTGCCCCTTCCCCAGGGGGCAGGCCAGTGCATGCGTCCCGCCCCGCTCAGGGCGGGGGGGCGGGGGGTCTGCTCAGGACGCAGAGGTTGTGCTGAAGCCGGACTGCCCATCTGTGGCCAGCGGTGCAGGCGACAGAGACCCTGGCAGGGCAGTCGGACCTGGAGCTTCTGGGGCTTCCGGGGCGGGCCCCGTGCTGACCTCTCCCTGCTCACCCCTTCCCTCTGTCTGTGGTTCCGCCGGTGACCCCCAGGGGGCCCCTGTGACTCCCCCGTCCCTCCCGCAGGGCAGCAGGTGATCGAGGAGCAGCGGCGGCGCCTGGCCGAGCTGAAGCAGAAGGCCGCGGCCGAGGCGCAGTGCCAGTGGGACGCCCTGCACGGCGCGGGCCCCTTCCCGCCCGGCCCCGCCAGCTTCCCCCCGCTCATGCACCACTCCATCCTGCACCACCTGCCCGCCGGCCGCGAGCGCGGGGAGGACGGCGAGCACGCCTACGACACCCTGAGCCTGGAGAGCTCCGACAGCATGGAGACCAGCATCTCCACGGGCGGCACGTCGGCCTGCTCCCCGGATACCATGTCCAGGTACCCGCCCAAGGGGGCCCGCTCTGTCCCTGCCGGCCGCCTCCCGGCCCCTTGATGCCCCCACTCTCGCCCTCCCCCAGCGCGAGCGGCCTGGACGTGGGGAAGATCGAGGAGATGGAGAAGATGCTGAAGGAAGCACACGCGGAGAAGAGCCGGCTCATGGAGTCGCGGGTGAGGCGGGCCCGCGCTGGCCTGGGTCCCGCTCCAAGCCCCTTCGCCCGTGGTCTCCTTCACCCCTTCCCTCGAGGAAGAGAGTGTTTTAAAAGTTGTGTTCATCAAACGGAGGAGGCCGGGCGACGTGGTTTGACGGCTCTTAGGTCGAGAGGAGGCAGCACAGTAACCCTTTTCCAGCTGGGAGTTTCCCGGACGGCACCGCGCAGCCTCTGTGTATTTGCTTCCGGGAGGGGGGAGGGTTGGCCACCATGAGTTCTGTTCCACGTCTGTTCAAGTGGCGGGTCCTTCCCCTGGGGGATGGTGAGGAAAGGCGAGAATGGGGGCCCAGGGTGTGGGGGTAGGGCCGGAAGAGCACACAGGCTCCAAGCCAGAGCAGAGGTGTCGGTGGAGGGGGCCGAGGGAAGTGGGCCCGCAGTCAGGACCAGTGGTGCGTTCCCCGGGCAGAGCCAGGCTGAGAGCCGGTGCCCGGGGAGGAGGGCGAGGGACGGGTCCGTTCCGTCTCCGTCCTCCGGGCCCTCTCCCTCTCGGGATGAGAGTGGGCACGAGGAGCGGGGGTCAGCGGCTGGACCAGCCAGAAGGGAAGGCCCCTCAGCCTCACTCACATCCGAGGGGGCCAGATGTACAAGCAGCTCTTGGCAAACGGAGAGAAAGGAGACCCTGCTAAGTTGTGAGCTGGGAAGAAACGGGAGCCGATGGCACGGAAGTTGTTCTCGTTGATGTGGACGTTGGGCGTCACTGACACACTTTTTGTGTTTGATGACTTGTTTTAATGACTTTTAAAATCTTCTAATGGCTTCTGTACCTTGTTTTTTTTTCCCCCCGTAAAATTTGAAGTTCAACTATGAATGTTTGTAATTTGGTTTCAAAGGGCCTTAGGGATTAGGGAAGGACTACTGAATATATTCAGTATCCAAAAAAAAAAAAAGTTGCTTAGATTTTATCGTTTTAGGGATTGAGGTAAAAATTGTAAGAGCGCTGTTTACTTATTTATTCAGTGCTTTCCTTATGTGCCGGAATCAGTGATGGGCATTTACATACACGACCTCATTTACTTTCCACTATAATCCCTGAAGGTAGGCACTCTTGGCTCCGTTTTACAGGCAAGGCAGCTGAGGCTTAGGGAGTTTAAATGAGTCTGTCAAGGTCCCAGAGCTCAGACCGGTGGCAGAGCCAGGATTTGAAGGCAGCGTGGTCTCCCTTTAAAGCATTTGCCCCTTACCGGCAAGGTGCTTAGAGAGGGTGGGTTTTGGGGCACGGCTGCTGGCTGCGGAGGGGCGGCCGCGGGCACTGACCGCTGGCTTTGGGGGCAGGAGCGGGAGCTGGAGCTCCGGCGACAGGCCCTGGAGGAGGAGCGGAGGCGACGGGAGCAGGTGGAACGGAGGCTGCAGAGCGAGAGCGCCAGGAGGCAGCAGCTGGTGGAGAAGGAGGTCAAGATGCGCGAGAAACAGTTCTCCCAGGTAAGTGGGTGGCGAGGTGCACTAGGTGCTTGGCTTGAGGGCGGGGCTGGGGGGCTAGGGATACCCTGGGGTGTGAAACCAGAAACCTGGGGTGTGGACTCCGCCCAAGGCAGAAGTCTACTTGGGACTCATTCGGCCCCAAGGAACAGACACGTGGGTGTGCGTGGGTTCTGTGGCTGTGCTGGTCCTCACTCCACCAGACTTGCAGCTCCGGGCCCCCCAGGGGCAGATGATGTCACTCTGACTCGGTTTATATCTCCAAGGGAAAGTTGTACTCGTTTCTCTGTGGCTTAGGCATCCTGCGCCTTTGCCTTACGCAGACGTCTTGAGCAGAGAACAGTTGATGGTGGAAGAAGTTAGGTTGTGTCCACCCATGTCTCTGGTCCCAAATCCCTGCTGTTCCTTCCTACTGGGTCTTTGACCCTCAGCGAGGGGGGGTCCTGTGGGATCTACCCCCACAGGGACTAGCGACCACAGCTCCCTGATGTCCTGGGAGCCAACAGCATAAACTCTGGGGGGCAGGCCACCTGGATTGGGTCAGGGGATTAAGAAATCAGGGGGCGCCTGGGGGGCTCGGTCAGTTAAGCGTCCAGCTTTGGCTCAGGTCATGATCTCACGGTGTGCGAGTTCGAGCCCCGTGTTGGGCTCACTGCTGTCAGCACGGAGCCTGCTTAGGATCCTCTGTTCCCCTCTCGCCCTGCCCCTCCCCTGCTCACACACACACTTTCTCTGTCCCTCAAAAAGAAGCATTTAAAAAAAAATGAGGAACACCTGAGTTTCACCCCTGCGCATGGGGTCTTTGTCAGATGTCCAGCCCCCTCTCCTGCCACCCTGGCCTGTCTCCCAGCCCCCTCTCCTGGGGCTCTGCCATTGCTGCTGTGGGACTGGGCGCAGTCAGCCCATCTTTGGGGCACTTCCTGGAAGTAGTGCATTTCATTTTTTCTCTACGTGATTTATGATGTTTCCTTTTCTTGCCGTCCTAATGTTCTCCCAGGAAAGGAAAAGTAGAAAAAATTTCCAGTTGACTGAGAGTTCTAGTTAGTATCAGAATTTTTGAGACGGAACAGACCCTAGTGATTATTTAGTTCGAAGCCCTTGTTTTACATGGAAGGAGACTGAGGGACCCCTGGGTGGCTCAGTTGGTTGAGCGTGCGACTTCAGCTCAGGTCATGATCTCGCAGTTCGTGAGCCCTGCGTCGGGCTCTGTGCTGACAGCTGGGAGCCTGGAGCCTGCTTCGGATTCTGTGTCTCCCTCTCTCTCTGCTCCTCCCCCACTCGCTCTCTCAAATGTAAACATTAAAAAAATTTTTTTGGAAACCTATAAGAAAGCTGAGGTCCAGAGAGGCCGTGTGATCCAAACAAAGTCCAACAGGAAGTCAGAGGCTGCATTTCTTACTGGGCTCTGCTTCCCAGAGCGTGTTCACATCTGCCTCTTGCCTTATTTCGTTCAGCCCAGGAAGGAGACGCGGGGCAGGGACAAGACAGGGTCTTGGTCCTAGGTGGGGAAACTGAGGCACGGAGCCACTCAGCAGTTTGCCCAGGTCCAGGCCGTGTCTGTGCAGGCCCGCTCGGTCTCGGCTTTTGCCACAAGCCCTGTGAAACCAGAGTACCACCCTGGGGGTGGGCGGGAGGGATGGCATTGGTGGGGGTTCAGGACTGAAGCCGAGGGACCTTGACAAGGGAATGAGGGGGGATGACTCTGCTGAGCCTGCCCTCTGCTCCCAGGCACGACCCCTGACTCGCTACCTGCCAATCCGGAAGGAGGACTTTGATCTGAAGACCCACATTGAGTCGTCGGGCCACGGCGTCGATACCTGCCTGCATGTGGTGCTCAGCAGCAAGGTGCGAGGCGTGCGTGGCCCTGGGGTGCTGGTGAGGGGACCCCACGGTACTGGGCCTTGGGGAGAGCGGCCCCAGTTCCTGCCCTAACACCAGAGATCTCTGTCCCAGGACCTGGTGTGCCGGCTGGAAGAGAGGTTGGGGACAGGCCCCCACAGTACAGGCCCAGGTGATGGCTTTTCTGTTGCGGCTCGGGCTGCGCACCAGGGTCCCTCCTCATGCCGGCCCCTCCCCAGGTCTGCCGCGGCTACTTGGTCAAGATGGGCGGCAAGATTAAGTCCTGGAAGAAGCGCTGGTTTGTCTTTGACCGACTCAAGCGCACCCTTTCCTATTATGTGGGTAAGTTGCCGTGAGGCTGTCTCAGAGCCTGGACCCTTCTGGAAGGAGGCGGGCTGACAAGTGGGGTGGGGGCAGGGGCTTGAGCCGGGTCCTCGTCTCCTCCCTGACAGCATCTAGTGTGTATCCGGTCGCCTTCGTCTGTGTGTTTGGCAATATAACGGAGCATGTAAGGAGTTCTGGGCTCCGCCCTAGGCCCTACTGATGAGCACGGTGGCCACAGCTCGCCCCTTGGAGCTTGTTGGCCGGGAGGCAGACGCTGAGCCGAGTGAAAGTGGCGCATAATGGGAATGTTGCCGGGGGACCCCCAGACACCGTGCACGTGTGCGGTCCTGTGGTTCCCTCCGAGACTCGGTGGTGGGGAGCGCTCTGGGCGGCCCCCGGGGACAGGGACAGGCCCACAGGTGCCTCCTGCTGCCTCGGCTTCCTCCACCTGGCCTGGTTCGGTCGCCCTTCCCTGGAGTCCCCTCCGGACTCTCTCTGGACAGTTCCCACTTTGAGCGCGGGAGGCTGTGTTGCATGCTGGTCAGCAGCAGCTGGGGCATGCCATGGGTACAAACAGTCCTGAGATCCCAGTGGGTCAAAACCACAAAGTTCGTTCTTAGCCGATACGCATCCGTGTACATCGCCGGGGGTGGGGTGGGGGGGGGATCCTCTGCTGCCTCTGCGTCACCGCTCCCTTTGTTGGAGAGCTTGCGCTTTCAGAGCACTGCTAGCCACAGTGGCGGGAGGAAAAGAGAAGCCTAACTGCGCCTTGTGCTGGCATTGAATGCCCCAGCTGGGGTCTGTCCTCAAGTCATTAGTGGGGCTGCTCAGCCAGTCCAGCCGGGAAGAGCAGTCCTGCTCAGAGCCTGAAAGGTCAGGGCTTAAATGTCTGGTGCCAGAGACCACCCAGGCCTGGAGTGCCTGCATCTCCTCTAACCTGCTCCCAAACTGAGTGCCACCGTCTCCAAGAAGCCTTCCCTGGTTGCCTGGGGCCCTGGGTGTCAGGGCCGAGGCACATGTGTCTGGGAAGGGACTTTATGGGGATTTGAGAGAAACAGGCCCAGGGAGAAGAGCTCCGTTGGAGGCATGCTGAGGTGGAAGTGCCCCTGGGACATCTAGGTTTAGGAGAAGGTCAGGGTTGGAGTCGAATCTGTTGGAGTGATCGGAATAGCAGATCGTCCTGAGGCGGCTGCTCTGCTAAGCCCTCTGCCTGCATTGTCTCGCCCGCTTTTCATCATCGTCCTGTGGGGGCAGCGCTGTTGTATACCCATCCTACAGATGCGGAACGTAGGCTCCAGGAGGTTAAGTAAGTTCCCCAGGGTGTCACAGCTGCTAAGAAGCAGAGATAAGCCTGGACCTGAGCAGCTGGACTTCAGAGGGAGATGAAAGGCCATACCCTGGGGAAGGAGGAAGAGGAGGGGCGGGGCAGAGGGACAAGCCAGGGGCAGGAAGCCACATGCCAGGGGCTGGGCTGGCGCTTGGCATCTGTGACCTTCCTTCATGTCTGTGAAGCACAGGAAGATCACTTTCAGACGAGAGGCGGAAACAGGGAAGGAAGGCAGCCGAAGGGGCAGACATTTGCAGGCAGGGAGTGTTGCCAGGGATGAGGGATGCTACAGAAAGGCAGAGAATAACGTGGACCCAAAGGCCCTTCCATTCAGGGACTGGAGCTGCGTATGGGGCCGGGAGCCAGGCTCCAGGAGCGGAGGAAAGGTGGGTGGTTAGGAAGCAGAGGCAGGAGCTGTTACTATTTCCAGTGAAGGAAGAAGTGGGCGAGAGCCGCTCATGGAGGGGGGGCCAGGCCTGGGGACCAGAGGGGGGCGCTGTGTCCACGTTCCAAGTCCCAAGAGGAAGCGTTAGATGGAGCTGGGCCTCTGGCTGGATCAGAGCCCTGGGTGTGACTTGCCTGCTCCTGCCTTGAACTTGCCATTCTCCCTCCCCGTGCCTGGAACCTCCTCCCACCTACTTAGTGAAGCGCATTCCCCCCCTTTCCCCCCCCCCCCCCCCCCCCCCCCGCCTTCTACAGGGTCCAGAGCAGATACTACCTCAGTAAGGCCTTTCCTGGCCCTTCCTTACTGGGAATGGGCCCTTCCCTCTGCTACATAACTCTGGCGTGATACAGGGTCTGTCGGCCATGTGACATCAGGAGGCATAACGATCGCAGATGCCACATGTCATGTGCCAGATGCCGTGCCGAACACTCCGAATGTGCGCTCTCACTCTGTGCTCGTGACCACTTATGCCGTGTAGATGCTCTCTCGGTGTTCCCAGCCATGCTGTCAAGGTCACATAGCTAATGAACGGCTGGATGTCTGTGCTTTCCTCCCCCCTGGGTTGTAGGTTCCTAAGGACCTCTGCTTTCTGGTGATCCCAGTGCCTAGGGCTTCTCTGTCACTGCGCACCTACTGTGTGCCAGGCACATAGCTGTTGGTGTTGGAGGAGGTAGACCTACGAACGGGTAGAGGAGGGTTCAGGTGGAGCGTGGTAAGTTCTGGAGAGGAGCATCCATGCTGTGGGAACCCAGGAGCGTGCAGCCAGGCCCCGCAGTGGGGACATCGGCCACGGGTCTGGAAGACCATTTAGGAACTCGCCAAGGAGGGGAGGGGCTGGAGAGCATTCCAGTGTCCACAGAGCATACGGGTAAGGGACTAGTCAGGAGCTCCGCCTGGCCAGATGGAACGCGTTGGTGCAGGGGCAGGATGTGAGACCAGACTAGAGGGGCGTGTGGGCACCGGCCTGGGAGTAGCCTTTGCCGAGCCAAGTTGGCGGCAGGTTGCCAGTGAGGGAACCGGCAAAGAGGCTCGTGGGCTGAGGCAGCGGGATTAGGTTTGCTTCAGGAGGATCGCCCCCTTGTCCTTCGGGGAGAGGAGTGGAAGGGGCAGAGGGTGGGGCCGGGGCACATTTAGGAGGCTGCAGCAGTGTTCCCGGATGGGGGACTCAGGCTGAAATGACACAGCGGTGGGGGAAGGGTGCTGCGCAAGATGCAGGCTGTCAGCCGTCACCATCTGAGTTCAGTGACTGTGTGACCTTTCGGTTTTGGTGCCCAAGCTGTGTCTGCCACAAGACTAGATGGCCCAGGCCCTGGGCTTTCCCTTGGCAGTGCCCTGTCCCTCCCCACTGGAGGGGTCCCCTCTGCTGTGAGCTTGCCCACCTCCCCGGTCAGCCCTGCCCCCACGTGCAATGCACTTCTGGTTTTTAGTATCAGAGGTGAGTAGGCCAGTGCTTTCGTAGAGCTCAAATATCAAAACACATAAAAAGCTTTAAATTGGGAATTTTGCCTCTCCTCGTTACAGATGACTGTTTTTATCATAAATCTCGAGTATCCTTGTACAGTTTTAGAATATAAGCAAATGCAAACATAGATTCTTAATCCTGTTCTTACACAGAAGGTGGTGTCCCATACCACGTATCCCATACGTTTCTTGTTTCACTGCTAATATAGCAGCTCTTTCTGCGTGAAATAGATCTACAGCTGATACGTTGTGAGTTAAGGTGTATTTCTGAATCTAGAGTTGTATGTCCTGCCAGAGCAGTGTGGTACCCAGAATGTGCTCGACTCTAACTTATTAACCAGTCTCTGCTTGGTGGACACTTGGGTTGCTTCCAGTGTTCGATGACCACTGACACTGTTGTGGAGAATAAGCATGTGAGTGTGTTCTCTGTAAAGTAAGTGTGTGTAAGTACAAGCATTGGCTCAAAGGGCAAACACCGAATCCTGGTAGGATTCACCTGTCACTTATCAGACCACCTGTTTCTCCAGAGATTCTCCTAAAGGGTGGTGGATATTTTCAGCCTATTTCTGCCGTTCTGGCAGGTGAGAAGTGTTGGGTCAGTGGAGTTCTAATTCGCATTCTCTAATTCTCAGCCAGGCTGAGCACCAACCTGATCTTCACGGCTCCATGTTGGGCTCTTTCTGGAGGCCTGAGAATCACCCCATTTCCCCGGGGGTGGAGGTACGTTTCACTGAGGGACAACAGGTCTCCTTAGCCCGGTCCCGTCTCCTTTGCAGACAAGCATGAGACGAAGCTGAAGGGGGTCATCTACTTCCAGGCCATCGAGGAAGTCTACTATGACCACCTGCGCAGTGCAGCCAAGGTGAGGGCACAACAGCCCCCAGCCCGCCTTCTCCAGAGACTTGGACCCAGTGCTTGGTCTCTTTGTAAATTCTCTCTTCCTGTCTCCCTCTCCCCTTCCCAGAAGAGGTTTTTCAGCTTCACTGTGGTGACTGAGGTACCCCTCCCCCACCCTCGTATAACCAGAACTACTGCACATTAATGCTGCCTGTCCCCTACTCGTTCCTGACTCTTTACTCTCCCTTCCATCCCCGTCTCCTGAGATGACAGCAGGCTGTTTCCCTGTGGGGGGAGAGGTGGGCACCGCAGGAGGGATGGCTAAAGGGAGGAAGGGCTTCTCAGGAACAGGCTCTGGCTGAGGGGGTTCATAGAAGGGATGGGTTGGAGCCCTGGGCTGTCTGCTCTCATGGAAAGCAGCCTCCCTCCCCTCAAGCCTTAGGCGCCCACCTCAGCCCTGACCTCCTCTGGGGTCCTGGGCCCAGCATTCCCCTTGCAGCCTTTTCCATCTGCCCCTCTTGTCCTCACGGGAATGGCCCTTTGTGTCTGATTCTTGGGATACTTCTGTGCCCCCATGTGGCAGGGTATGGCCCTGCCCAGGTGTGAGGAGGGGAATCTCTCTACCTGGGGCCCACCTGACCGATGGGGACTACGGGACCTATTTCAGACACCGTCTCGAGTTCCAGGGTGTCCTGGCCACAGGGAGGGGAAAGGTCAGACGGGGTGTCAGGTGAGCCCTGTCTTAGACCCACTCTCTCTCCCTGGGCAGAGCCCGAACCCAGCTCTCACCTTCTGCGTGAAGACCCACGACCGGCTGTACTACATGGTGGCCCCTTCTGCCGAGGCCATGCGCATCTGGATGGATGTCATCGTCACCGGAGCTGAGGGCTACACTCAGTTCATGAACTGACTGGTGTGGACCCTCTGGACCCTCGGGCGAGCCCACCTGCTGCTCTGGCCCTGGAGACAGAGCTGCGCTCGGGGCCCCAGGCCCCACGGGAGTGCGGAGCGTGACGGGGCTTTTGTGTAAGACTTTGTGCTGTTGCCCAGTGACTTTCTGGGCGCAGGCCCCCTAAAGCACCAGCCAGCAGATGAAACGTGGGGAGGCTCCCGGGAGCCCAGAATCTGCAATAACCCTTGAGGGTCCTGCCCGAGGAGCTGTCACAAGAGGGGGCCTCAAGCTCTGACCTGGCGCCTGCGCTCCTCTTCTCTTTTGCAAAAGGACAAATTATGGTACCAGAATCTGCCAAAGATCCCCTCTTGCCTCAGCCCCCCCCCTTGCAGGGGTCTTGTGGGTGGAGGAGAGCCACCTCCAGGGTGGGGTAACAGCTCAGGTGGCGGACTTCCTCACCCCGGCTCTCCCGCGGCCTCGTTCAAGGGCCGGGGCCCTCCAGCGCCATCCTTGAGGCCCTCACCCCATCTCGTCTGTGCAGAGCTCCCCCCCCCCCCAACCTTAAGCTCCATAGTGACCGCGCCAGCGCCAGGGCTGGCCACTCACTGCCGCCGCCCTGTGGCTCCGCCCACGCTGTGGCCCGCCCCAGGGAACGAGGGTACGTACTGCCATCTCTCCAGCCCCGGACCGCGGGCATCTCTCACTGGGGGAAGGGACCGCACACCCGCTCCCTGCGTGCGGCTCCGGGCCCTGCCGCACAGCCTGCCGCCCCCCAGTCCGGACCTCTCCCTTCCACGCGTGCCTTGCTTAGAGCCAGAAGGGCTGAAGCTGGGACACCCCGACACTAGAGGAAGGAAGCAGATGGGAGAGGCGGCTCGATGCGGGTTCTGTGGGACTGGCTGGAGGGCCCCTCAGACGCCCCCTGAGGGCAACCGGAGCAGGAGCCGAGGCCGCTGCGGGAGAGGACCCTGGGGTCCGGCTGCCCTCCCTTCAGCCTCAGAAGGATGACAGAAATGGAGAGCAGAGGACCGGACCACCAGGGGTCTGGCCTCAGCCCTTCACGCCTTAACACTAAGCCTCCATCCCTGCTCCCCTGCCCAGTCAGTACTGGGCCACGGGGGCCTGGCCTGGGCTGGGCGATTTTCAGTATTTGTAAGCATCTCAACAGAACAATAAAGCATTTGGAGTATGTGTTTGGGAAGCCAGGTGGTGCGGGGCGGGGGTACAGGGGTAGGTCTTCCCCGCCAAATAGGATTTTGTCCTTACTGCTGTTCCAGGATGGACAAGGGCACAGCCCAGGACTTCTATGTCCCTACCCTGCTCCAAGGTCTGGCTGGGGAGGAGGAAGGGGTCTTCAGAGGCGAGAAAGGGTGGGGACTCAGCAGAGGTTTAATGGGGCCAGACACCCATCACTGCGGCAGGAGGCTGGGTAGGAGGCTGAGCACAAGGGCAGCTGGGAGGCAGTGGGGCGCCAGGAAAGCGGTCTGGGTCCCCGAGCGCAGTTGGTCACCGTAGCGGTCCAGGAGCATCAGGACCACGCCATTGGTCCAGCCAAAGCCCTCCTGCAGAGAGGCACGGCCAGTGGGGCAGGATCTCCGGGGAAGGGCCCTCAGGTCCTATTCTAGGGGGTCCACCCAGGGGCTCTAGAACTGCCCGACCCCAGGGGTACAGAGGAGCTCCAGGCCACCTCCTCCCTGTGGCTCCACATCCATAGGAGGAAACAAGCTCAGAGGAGGTGGTCATGGCCAGTTGTGGGGACAGCAGAGCCCTGCAGTTCCTGGGGGGTAGGGGCCCACTCACCTGAACTTCATACTCCCCTCCACCACCTGGCTGACCACCGTTGCTGACGTCATACTGGGAACCAAAGGACAAGCTCTAAGGTCAGGCACTAACCCCCGCCCCCCACCCCCGCCCTCTAGGGAGCCCCTCTGGGAGAAGCTGCTCTGGCCTGCAGTGCCCAGGACTGGCCACTGGGTGTCACCGCTGCTCCCCGGGCTTCGCAAAGCCTGGCAGTTCCCCCAGCTCCCCATGGAGAGGAGGCCCAGGAGCAGCTCACCTTCTCATACATGGCTGACTTTCTGGAGTAGACCTCAAAGGTGGTTCGGATCCAATTCTGAGCCAGCTGGAAAGCCACTTCCTGGGCCCGAGGTGAAGGAGACTTGGCCAGACCTAGACCCCACCCCCAGGCAGGACCCTGAGCCACCTGAGTGCCCATCCCAGAGGGAGCCTTACTCTCCTCAGGGAGGGAAAGAGGCCTGAGCTTTAAGACCTCCATCCTGAAATCACGTGAAAGGCCAGAGTGCTCTTTACCCAGGGCCTGGGCTTGGAGGGACAAAGGCAGGCTGGCTCATAAGTGTCTGCTGAGTGGGAAGCCATGAGAACAGAAGAGCCAGAGAGAGACCTCACCTCCTCTGTCCACACCTCCCCAGTGCCAGGGGGCTGACCCTCTAGATGCAAGGGGGTCAGGCCCTGGGATGTGCCCTGGCGCTGCCTCCCTACCTGTGATGACCAGGTCCTGCAAGGGGGCCCAGGCATTGGGGAAGTCCCACTGCTGGCCGGTCTTCTGGAGAGAAGTCGGGATCCCGTACTGGTAGGTCAAGATCTGGCTGTCCTAGAAGATTCCAGACATTTCTCGGACTGTGGGTGGGGACTGGATGAGGAGCCAAGGGCCTGGGCCCTCCTCAAGCCAGATGTTCCCCTTCCTGGACTCTCTTCTTACTCACAGCTGCCCCCTGGTGGCTCCAGCGGGACCCGCAGGCTCAGGCAGGGGAGTGGTGGTAGTGGTTGGGAGCAGGGAAGGGAAGTCACAGGCTCAGAGACAGGGAGAGAGCAGGGGGTTCTGCCCCCAGTATACCAGCCCGCCCTGCTGCCCCCCCTCACCTCCAGGTATTTCAGAGCCTTGTCCACGACTCCCGGGTCAGAGAAACAGCCGGACCAGAGAGGAGTGAGGTTGGATGGGTAAAACTCTAGGTTCTTCCTTCTGTTGTCAAGGTCATAGTCAAACCAGGCACCCTTCTCCTCATCCCACAGGATGGCTTTCATGGCAGCCAAGCGCTGATCCCGCAAATTTCTGTATTTGGTGGCTTGGAGGTCGTTCCCTGGGGTGACACAGCCTTTAGACTGAGCAACCTGGGTACCTGACCTTGGGGTTTGGTGCCTTCAAGAGATCTACTTTGGCCTCTTCCTGTTTTCCTTCCCAAGGGCTAGAGGCCCTGAGCACCAAGGGGACATGCATACCTGGGGCCACACTGCAGGCCTCCAGGACCGGGCATTTCCTGAGCAAATGGCCCGATATGGCTCTCAGGACCTGCACCGGCCTGTGACCAGGACCATCCTGGGAGGGCACTGTCTATATATGCTCCCCTGTCTGTGACAGAACAATGGGAATGGAAGGAGTTTGAATGTGTGGACTCAGATACTCAAGGCCCTACTTCCAGCTCCATGGCCGAGACTGAGGCAGGGCTGAAGCGGGCCGAGCACCCGTTCCCCCTCTCCTCCTGCTGGCTAGCTCACCCAGTCTGGAGTAGAAGTCGCTCATCAGCTCCTCTGCCTGGCACAGGAAGGCGTTGAGGTCAACGGGCACAAATCGGCTGGTCCGGATGCTGCTGAGCGGGTTGGGGGTCGGGCCTCCGACGAGCCATCGTGAAGAGAAGTCCCAGCCAGACTCGGCCCCAGCCTTGAGCTCAGCCCACAGAGCTTCCCGGTCCCCTGTGATGACAAGGCAGTAGCAGACCAGGGACTGGGGCCTGACCCATGACAGCGGGCTCCCGGCCCCACCCAGATCCCCGACCTCGCTGCCGCTCACCTTCCGGTACCGTGGCTGCCAGCTCTGCGTCTTTGCTGTAAGACTCGGGCCTGGAAAAGGAGAGCGAAGCGTCCTGGCACCAGGCAGCTCTGAGCCCAAGCTGGGGGCCGGGCCAGATGCCTCACTGGCCCTGGAGCGTCCTGGGCGTTTAATATCAGCATCCAAGATCTGGGGCTAAGTCACTGGCCCTCACACCAGAGTGAAGAAGACACTGAGGGGCTGGCGGGGCAGCTCCTTACCTGGGTCCCCCGTAAGGGACAGAATAGTGATTCAGCAAGTAGCTCTTCCCCCCCGAGGTCACAGAGACGGTCCTGTTCTCAGCCCAGAAGTCCAGTTCCAAAGCTAGGGTTCCCATGTTGTCCCTGGGGTGGAGCCGGGCACCGCCTCAGCCCGGGCCCGCCCCCTCGGCCCGCCCCCCGGAGGTCCCAGGGAGGGGGGCCTGCAGGGCCGCGGGGGGGCGGGGTGCCCACCGCAGGAAGGCCGTGTCGTTGGTGTGAGCCATGTAGCGGTGCATCATGAGAGTCAGCAGCGGGGGCTGGCTCCGCTGCAGGTAGTACACGCGGGCCCCGTTGGGGACGTGCCCGTAGCTGCCGAGGGGGGGGCCTGCTGAGGTGCATCTGCCCAGCGGCTGGGGCCAGGGCCCACCCAGCGGCGAGCCCGCCCCCTCTTACATTCGCACCAGGCCCAGGAAGTTCTGCAGCATGCCCTTCACGGTCTCGGGCATCTCAGACAGGAGCAGCCCCTCCATCACCCAGTAGGAGTCCCTGGGGAAAGGGACAGCTCAGGCACCCCTCCCCTCTGCCGCCCCCTGCCCTGCACACCCAGGCCAGTCATGGGGACAGGCCAGGCCAGCGGCCCTGGGCTCCCCGACTCCTGCCCTGCAGCCCCGGCCACTCACCAGTAGTAGAACTCGACAAAGCGCCCTCCAGGCACGATGAAGGGGTGCTCCGAGTAGAGCAGCGAGAACTGCTCGGGGTGGCTGAGGACCTCTGGCTTCACCTGCGGTCGGGAGAGGGGGCACAGGGAGCCCGGGACCCCCGAGGTGTGGCGGCCGGGAGAGGCCGGGGGTGGGGGCCCTGGCAGCTGCGGCTTTGGAGCCAGGCCGCCGGGGCACGAGTTCGGGCTCTGCTGCTGGTCAGCCAGGGGCTGGGGGCTGAGCTCAAGCCCCGAGCCGCCGCGGGAGGCTGGTCTGCTCGGCCCCACGTGCCGGCCTCTGGAGTCCTGGCTCAGCCAGCCCGGCGCGGGCAGGGGCTCGCGCAGCAGCGGCTGCTCTCAGCACCGGCCGCGGGGACCACGTCCTCCGCTGGCTCCCCCTGCCTCGTCTCTGTTGCCACCGCCAAGCCAGGCCCAGAGACGCACGGCCCGGTCCTCTGACCCAGGCGTGGAAGATGCCCCCAAACTGCTCTCCCCGTGAGGCAGACGCACACGAACGTGGCCTCGGGAGAGCAACGGTGGCACCAGAGTGGGGCCTGCGTGCCTGCCTCTGTCAGGTCCGTTCTCTGTTCACGGCTTCCTGCTTCTGTCCCGGTGAGTGTGGTTTCAGTGGGAGAGGGGGCAGCCGTCCGTTATTTTGAGGGGAGGAGTGGCACAGAGCCGGGCTTTGCTCCCGTGGGGCTGGGCGGGGAAGGGGCCTGGGGGCTGGCTGGGAGGACAGACGCTGTGCAGCCTTGGGCAAACCAGGGCCGTCTCTGAGCCTCAAAGGAGAGAAAGTGTCTAACAAATAGTGGAAACCACAGGCCACAATTAGCAGCGGCAAATATTCCTGAGCAGAGGGCTGGCTGGAGAAGACCAGGGAAGGGGGAGCCCAGCTGGGGAATGTGGAGGTGGCGGGACAGGCTGGGTTTGCCTGTGGGGGATGACGGTGAGGAGGTGAGAAGTTAGAAGGAGACATTCCCTTCTCCCCCTCCAGAAATTCTTTCTAGAAAACTCTGTTCAAAGACCCAGTGGATGGGGGACAGTGGTCTTAGGAAATGTGTTCCACTCTGTGCTCTAACAGCAAGGTGGGCCCCAAGCAGACAAACCCGTCCCCCAGCTCGGTCCCCCCGCCAACACCCGGGACAGGGATACCTTCTTTCCCAGCTTCTTCCAGAGCTGGTGCAGCTGCTCCCCCCACACTCGCAGTTTGGGGTCCACGATCTTCTCCAGGAACCGGGGGCTGGAAGAACACCAACCAAACCCCCAGGGCTCAGGGAGGCAGCCCTGTCTGAAGACCCCACTCCTGTTTTCTGTCCGGGCTGTACCTGTCCTTCCAGTCGGCGGGGGTCCAGGGCTGCAGCTCTTGCCCCACGGCCCGGAAGTGTTCCTGGATGAAGGCGCGGAGCAGCGGCAGGGGAATGCTGTGGTTGTGGCTGGCGGCCAGCTCTCTGAAGTGCTGCAGAACTTGGTCTGGGGTGTGGGTGGCCAGGAGGGATCAGCTGGAGCCCAGGAGCCCCTCCCTGCCTGGCCCCACGCCCCCCCATCTTTGGTGCAGAAGGTTTAGAAGGTGAGGCCCCCACGCTCCTCACTTGGAGTCGAGGACAGCGGCATGTCCACAAACTGTTTGTCGTCCTGGTAGAGCTTGGCCATCTGGACTTGGTGCAGCAGCTCCCCGTGGCAGTAAATCTGGCTGCAGAGAGCGTGGGGAGGGGAGCAGGTCAGGCCACCACCGTTAGGGGAGAAGAAAGGCTAGAGTGTGGGCATGTTCCCTGGGCCGGACCAGGGCTGTGTGTGTTCACCTGTGCACGTGTGTGCACACACGTGGTAGGGGTTGGCAGGTGGAAGTAACAAACTGGGCTGAATGAGGAGGACCCTTTGCAGTACAGGATATGAACAAGCACCCAAGCCCACACTGGCTGGTCATTTGGAACAGCCCAGAATACCCAGTGGGCACAAGGAGATTACCACTGTAATCAGTGACACGTTAGAAGAGGCTGGACCTATTCTCTGTATAGCGGGGCGTGTGGACAGCTCTCTGTGACCAACGAAGAGCTGCTTGGTTCCTGATGCAGCTCCAAGGTAGACCGACAGCATCTTGTTTGGAAGGCCGATACACACTGACCAACTGACGGAAATCTTTGAAGAATGAAAGGACACAGCTCAGTGGGCTGGACTGCATTCTGTTTGCCTTGCAGTGATGGAAGAATCGAACCCAAAAAGCCCTGAGGTTGGGGTTTTTATTGACTCATGAGCAGGAAAAAACTGGACTCGTCAAGGGGGTGTGTGTATGAGGCACGACCCTCGGGAGATCACTCTGGAAATTCAAGGGGCACATTAAAGTAGGCTTTGCATACCTGATTGTAGAGGATTGTAGAGGAATATGCTTAAAATACTACATTGGAACAGAAGATACTGTGCCAATTTGGTCAGCCTACAGTCCCAACAACGTCCCACGATTAGTTCCAACAATCTAAGAGAGATCATGTCAAATGAACACATCATGTGGCTTATCGCCCTCGGAGGGGTGGCTCCGTACAGAATTAGAACAGGCAACTGAAACTTTTCTTGTCTAAAATGGAGAGAAATGAAAGCATGTGGGGCTGGCTTACACAGCTTCACAAGTACTCACACCCAGCATGGGGTGGGGGCCAAAGGAGGGTCCCCACTGGATATATTCCTCTGGTTTTCTGAGAGGTGGGCAGAGGGGTTGCTGGTGGGACTATATAATTCTTTCCCACATCATCTCAATTTACCTTTTGCCTGTGCAGTGGACCAGACTGAGATGTGATGCCAGAAGCATGAATGATCCCTGAGCAAGAAACTATAGCTATATTTTCAAAAATTTTTAAATGTTTATTTGTTTTGAGGAGGGGAGAGGGACAGAGAGAGAGAGGGAGCCAGAGAATCCCAAGCAGGCCCCGAGTTGTCAGTGCAGAGCCTGACACAAGACTTGAACTCATGATTCATGATATCATGACCTGAGCTGAAATCAAGAGTTGGACGCTTAACCAACTGAGCTACCCAGGCATCCGTATTTTCAAATCCTTATGTTAGAATTCCCAAGGGCCTGGTGAGGCAGCTTGTGCCCACAGACACTCTGGCTAACTGGGGGCTAACAGTGAATGCAGCTATACTATCTATTGGTGGGAGAAGCCACTCATTATGGGCCTTGTAACTCTATCCTGGACAGATATGATGGAACTAGGGGAAGCACTTGCAAGACTGGTATTGTTGTCAGCAGTCTGAATGAGTACAGTGGCCAAACCTAATGTCCCTTCCAAAGGTTGAAAAGCTTAGTGAAAATCAACGACAAATGGAAAGAAGGTAAATGACAGCCAGTGACTTAATCAACACAGATACAAGCAAGATGTCTCAACCAGAATTTAGAATCTCAAGAGTACTGGCTGGGGTTGAAAAAAGCATGGAATCGTTTTCAGGAGATAAAAGAAGTGAAATCTAGTCAGGACAAAATTAAAAATGCTATAAACTGACATGCAATCTCGAATGGATGCCATGGCGGCAAGGACGGATGAAGCAGGGCAGCGAATCAGTGATACAGAGGACAAACTTGAGAACAATGAAGCAGAAACACAAAGAGGGAAACTAAGGCAAAATAGCATGAAATAAGACTTAGAGAACTCAGTGGCTCATTAAAAAGGAATAACATTCAAATCACAGGGGTCCTAGAAGATGGAGAGAGAGAAAAAGGGATAGAAGGTTTATGTGAGCAAATCATAGTGGAAAACATTTCTAACCTGGAGAGACACAGACATCAAAATCCAGGAAGCACAAAGAATTCCCATTCAATTCAACAAAACCAACCATCAACAAGGCATATCATAGTCAAATTCACAAAATACTCAGGCAAGAACAGAATCATGAAAGCAGCAAGGAAAGAAGAGTCCTTAACCTACTAGGGAAGGCAGATCAGGTTCACAGCAGATCTATCTAAAGAAAGTTGGCAGGCCAGAAAGGAGTGGCAGGATATATTCAACGTGCTGAATCAGAAAAATATGCAGCCAAGAATTCTTTATCCAGCAAGGGTGTCATTCAAAATAGGAGAGAGAAAAAGTTTCCCAGACAAAAACTAAAGGAGTTCATGACCACTAAACAAGCCCTGCAAGAAATTTTAGGGGGGACTCTCTAAGGGGAGAAAAGACCAAAAAACAAAACAAACAAACAAACCCCAAAAGCAACAAAGACTAGAAAGGACCAGAGAACACCACTAGAAACTCCAGCTCTACAGGCAACATAATGGCAGTAAATTTATATCTTTCAGTACCCACTCTAAATGTCAATGGAATAAATGTTTCAGTCAAAAGACATAGGGTAACAGAATGGATAAAGAAGACAAATGGAAAGAAGGAGACATGGCAGCTGAGGGCAGAGAGGTGAGTAAATGGGTAGTCAATGAAAATGGGAAATCTTGGGGCACCTGGGTGGCTCAGTTGGTTGGGTGTCCGGCTTTGGCTCAGGTCATGATCTCACAGCTTGTGAGTTTGAGCCCCCATCGGGCTCTGTGCTGACAGCTCAGAGCCTGGAGCTTGCTTTGCATTCTGTGTCTCCCTCTCTCTCTGCCTCTCCCCCACTCACACACACTCTCTCTCAACCATAAATAAAGAATAATTAAAAAAAGAGAAAGAAAATGGGAAATCTTGCATGACATTAGTTCCTGGAGAGATCAAGAGGTTAACGCTGTCTGTAGCATAGTGCTACCTGGGAGGGTGAGGCCATGAGTCTGTCATGACCACCCTCCATTTGGAACCCGACCAAGTTGAAGGGAAGCCTCCAGACATGACTGGCATTGTTCTGGGAGGCATTCTGGTTTTAGGATATGATAATGAACTGGGCTGTTGATGACCGAGGGAACTCTAGTGATGTGCTAGCATCTTCCAAATTCAAGTTTTTAGATCACATCTACTACAAAGGATATCATTTGGGAAGAAATTTCCCGGAACAACTCCCCACTGGGTCTTTGGACTGTGTGGTTTACAACTCTTGGCAGATTAATTGCTGTGTAACTATAAACCTTGATAATCAAATACTTGGAAAGTTCCCTGACATCAATGGATAAAACATAGCAGCACGTTCAGTGTGCTACATGCACAAATGTAGATCACCCTTGTTTTCGTGAACAGAAAGCTATTAAACAGATGAGAATAAATGTTTTTTTTGTGTGTGTGGGATTAAAGCAGTAGGCATCATACAGTATGTCCAAATTCCCCTGGGGAATAACCCCATTGTGAGATGAGGAAGGCTATGGGAGGCCTTATGGCATACTCAAAATAAATTGCATTTAGGCATGACTACCACTTATCTAACCCACCGTATCTGAGCTGCACTCAGGCTTTTAGTATCTACTGGCAATGACACACATGGTGCATTAAACAACATTGGACCGTGAGGCATAAAAGAACTTTGAGGGAGATAGGTCTCCCACTGTTGAACAAACTGAATTTTCTTTTAATGAAGAGAGGCAGAGGAAAATACTTATTAACTAGAATAAGCAGATGAGGAGTTCTCTTCCAAGAAGAAAGCAAAGGATGGAAGTCAGATTGGATAGATGATGAGGCTTTAGTGAAATGGGCCAGGGCAAGGCAACACATAATGCCAGGATCCAGCACTGGGAAGGGGTCTGCACCTTCACCCAACAGGGCCTCTGGACTATTTTAATGCTGACTGAAGCCAACGTAGTGATGTGACAATGACCTTCCATTGTAGCTACTGAGGCTCAAGGGCCATATCTCTGGGAATCTTATAGCCCTGACAACTTAGTTCTCTGGACACTCGATGCACTATGACTGCCCTTGCTCCAAGAAGAGATCGGAAGAAGACATACCCTATAGTACAATCAGCAGGGATAGGGATTATTCTGAGGACCACCTGGGTCCTCCCGTAGGAAGGAGGTAGGCCCTGATTCCAAACAGCATGCAATGGAAACCAGTCTCTGTACCAGCCTGTGAACTGAGACGAGGTGACTGGCTTTGCCTCCAATGGACTTGGAACCCAGAAATAACAGATAATAATTTGTTATAATAAATAATAAAATCATGGCTATTTATAATGATTACTGTCCATAATAATATCTGGTATAAGGGCAAGGTTTGAGTCCACAAGAGAAGGCACAGAGAATCTCTCTGTAACTCTTCCAGATTTGTTCTGTAATGAAACCGAATTGTACTATGACCATACCAGGATATCGTTTAATACCGGTATTATCGGTTCGATTCAACCATGTTATGTAAATTAGCCACATGATCACACTGATACTGATGACTGAGTTTGTTGGCATCTTGAGTTAAAGCCTCCTCAGAATATAATACCAATGGAAAATGCCTGGCCTGAAGACGAACTGGAATAAGCGAATTGCTATGCTAAGTAATTCTGCACAAGTTTATCCTAAGATACAGATAGTGGCAGATGAAGGAAGGAAATGAGTAATCAAATCAGCACAAATATACAAAAATGTATGTAAAGGCTTTATAGGCTGGTTGTTAAAATAGTTGTTCCTTTCAGTCTGTCCCTACTCCGCACTGACTCCTCCCAAGGTTAGGCACACTCCTACCAATATATCGCTATACCTATTACATAATTGCTATATTAAAAGGAGATGCTCGGGGGAGCCTGGGTGGGTCAGTTGGTTAAGCCTCTGACTTTGGCTCAGGTCATGATCTTGTGGCTCATGGGTTT